CGACTTCTTGTTGAAAACTGTAAGTCTGATTGCTTTGATATTACATATATAGGTACTACATGTGGACCTCTCTCAGATTTGTTCATTTTGTGATGATATCTTCAATTCTCTAATTAATTTATTTTGGTGAATATTTTTGTAATTTTTGGTAAAAAGTGATATTTTCGACTTCTTGTTAAAAACTGTAAGTCCGATTGCTTTGATACTATTCATATTGTTCATTTTCTAATGATGTCTTCAGTTTTTTAATTGAAATGTGCATTGCTAACAGCGGAGCTATCTCAGCCGATAGGCTGCTTGTTTTACTTTCACCATATGGATTTATTTCATGCAGTTGCAAACAAAATTCAAATGGACATTAAGTTTTGTTGGGTAAGGAATTTATTTTTGGCAATGATTCAGTGTATGCATGTACTGTTGTGAAAATACCTTCCATACTCCACAAATATCAGCACATAGCATGGGACTCAGTGACTACAAACTCATTGACTATCTAGATGATGTAAATGTTCCTTTTATAAAAACATGCAATCAATTTCTATGGCAACTGTTTCATTTGTTTCAGGGTACCATACCAATCCATCTAGCAGCACAAAGTGGTCATATTGCTGTGGTTGGATTGTTGCTTAGTAAATCAACCAATCAATTACACATCAAAGACAAGCGTGGTCGCACTGGATTGCATCTAGCAGCAGCTAATGGACATTATGATATGGTAGCTTTATTGATTGGACAGGGAGCAGATATTAATACATTTGATAAGGTAGCTATAGCAACCATAAGTTTTGGAGTTTCACTAATTTTACTTAGCAAGGGTGAAACAAAAGTAAATAGATACAACAAATAGAATTGGTGTTCATGCAGGTTTAAAGAACAAATAAACATTAACTAATATCTGGAACTACTAAAAATATTCAAATTATAATAGTTTACTACATCACCTACCAGAAAGTCCATGGAAATAATAAATTCCATTTATTACTCGTTAGGCTTCACTACAGATTACAGCCCGAATAGAAACTATTAGGGAATATACCATAAAAGGATTAATTATTCACTGGGTTTTAATTTTGCTTATTTCGCTGCCTGGAAAATGCGTTAAATTAAAACCCAACGCAACCAACGAGTACAGATATTTTTCAGCTCCGTTGCGACGCATGGACGAGAGTGCAGGTTACAGTTTTAAGACTGAGATTATCTAGGAATCTAGTATTGGTGATCGACCTCATTACGTTAAAGGCTTTCTTTATTTGGGGGCCCCACTTTTTTAGTCCCTATTCAGACACAGTCCGAAAACGAGGACTTATGTTTTGACCCGTGTTTGTGTGTGTGTGCATGTGTTTGTGCATGTGTGCGTCCGGACCTGTATCTTAGAAATGTCTGGACCAATCACAATCAAACTTCACACATACATCATACATCATGATATTATACCTAGGCGCGTCAATTTGTTTCTCGATCTGATTCAAGATGGCCGAATAGCGGCCATTTTTGTGCTAAAAAAACATAAAAATCGAACATTTTTCGGCTGTTTACAGATGGATTTTGTTCAAAATTGGTATATACGTTAGACATTATGGGACCTTGATGCAAATAATTTTGTTTTTCAGATAAGATTCGAAATGGCTGACTAGTGGTCATTTTGTTTTAATGAATGTGGTTCTAGTGCCATATCTCTGACTTGCTTTGACTGATTATGTTCAAATTTTAAATATTCATTATACATCATGTCATAGATAGACAGATATATTGGTTTGACAATATTCAAAATGGCCGAATGGTTGTCATTTTTGTGCTAAAAAAATCATCAAATATCAAACATTTCTGGCATTTATGGATGGATTTTGTTCAAACTTGGTACATACATTAGACACTACGGGTTCCTGATGCATATCATTTTGTTTTTCAGATCAGATTCAAAATGGCTGTCTGGCGGCCATTTTGTTTTGTTTGTCTGACTTGATTTACCTGTGTTAGTTGAATCGTTGGCTCAGTTTATTTTCACCGGATTCCGTTTTTTCTCATGATCTCACTTTCGTAATTTTTGCAGACGCTATTATGCCCTAGTCACAAAAAAAGACGAAGTACGTCCCGCTACAGACGGGATGTAAGACTTGCCCATGCTGCTTCAAGCAGATGCCCGACCCACATATGTGTTGTCACGATTGCCTGGGTTGTGTCAGGGACTCAGGGTTCTGTTCAGAGCTTTGTGATTCATGGGACCCTAAATTTAGTTTGATTGCGAGACAGGGTGAAAAGCTAAGGCAAGCAATCTAAAGCTGGTAAAGGTCGCGAAAAGAAGGGTAAATCCACCGGAACTTTATCGATACCGACGCAGCCTGAGTGGATTGCACAATCACAGGGACAGGCCATGTTGCCTTCCTTTACCGGTACTAGTCAAGGTGGCAAACCAAAAAAGCTCTCCCAGGGTGAAGAGATGGCTTGGACAGTCAGGATGTGTGGTCTGGCTTCAAAGGTCAACTCCCTTCTGGAGTCTCAGGGTAGGACGCAGAAGGACGGGGTGTGTGTGTGTATGTGTTTCCTGCGTCTTTCCAAGCCGCGCAGAGTGCCCCACTTAGGACTCTGCGAGGGGAGGGGACTCCAGTGTTGGTACCCCTGTACAGGGTGGTATGCAACCCTTTTTTGGGGTGCAGCTACTACTTCCCCAACAGGAGGGGGGGCGGGCGCTTTGTCGTTTCTCGTCCCCACTTTGTCAGGACAGTCACAGGATACCCAACCAACTGGAGACCAGCTGTCCCTTACTAATATGCAGTTAAGGTCAATAAAACATGGTACATGGATACTCAAGCACTATGCAGAGATCGATTGTTTTGGGATAAATATTTGTGCATGTTAATAACCTAATTTGCATAATTAGTAAATTTTCAACTTTTTCACTGATATCTTAATATCACCTTTAAATGAATCTAACTATGCAGAGAGCCAATTAGTTGTTGGTATATATTTATGCATATTAATCACCTAATTTGCATAATTAATACATGTTCAACTTTCACACTGATATCTCAAGTAGATGCTCTAGGACAATGTACAAATATGATCAGTTTTGGGTTAAAATCTGTTCATATAAATTCCCTAATTAGCATAATAATTCATAATTGTTTGGTTCTGATCATATTTCAATGAAACTTGGTACATAGATGGTCTGTTACATTGCGCAGACCTTATTAGTTTTACACGCTCTTCATTTTAATTTTCTGATTTGCATAATTAGTTTTCAGTTTTTCCATCAAATCTCAAGTAATTTTGAATTAATTTTTACTGTGTCTCTAATACTCTTAACACACGGGAGTTCTTTCTAACCTTTCTTTGATTCTAAATGGGGCCGATTAAAAAAAAATCTTGATTTAAAAACAAAAATCATTTCTTTTTTCCCATGGAAAACAAAGCCAAAAGATCGCATTAAAACACCGGTGAATCTTTTCCGTGCTTTTACCATGAGGTCGCTGAACTGTCATTAACATATTTAAATGCCCTAAGGTAATTTGAACATGTGGGCACCATCCAGCATTTTGATTGGTTAATTAGCGACTTGACCTATCTGGTCAATAAACACGTCTCATGTGCATGGATAACATGGCGGATATCATATCGCATCAAGTGTTTACATGTGACCAAAATCATTTGCTGACGATGAAACCAAGTTTCGGGTAGTGAGTTTGCTATTTCATTACATCTTACCACATTACTGGGATTGTCATATGACCAATCAGATTATTGCAATTGCCACATAGACCAATCAGATTATTGCAATTGCCACATAGACCAATCAGATTATTGCAATTGCCACATAGACCAATCAGATTATTGCAATTGCCACATAGACCAATCAGATTATTGCAATTGCCACATAGACCAATCAGATTGCCTGGATTTTCACATGACCAAGCAATTATCTGCAATGATATATTGAATAAAACATTTTATCCCATATATCATTGCAGTTCTGTGAAATAAAACCAGTGAAGTTCAGTGTCTTCATACTATAAACACAGAAATACCAACAAATCTGATTGGTTCATGCAAACACATTGTACTTTTGATATCATGGCTGACAAGTTCCAAATAATCAAATATTTTAATATGTTGGTGGTATGTGCATGTAATTTGTGTATTTCAGGTAGTTTTATATATCAGCTTCAATATGTGTTCAACATATGTATAAGACACCATGTCTATTTCTTCCATCTTTAACTTGTCTGTAGACAGTGACCATCTCTCATGTAGTGAATTGTCTTCATAATTAGTGATTATGTGTATCTGAAATGTAAATATGTTGATGTGTTTTATTGCAAGAAGGCCAACTAAAAGTGTCAATGAATGGAGATTATTTACACAAATATGACAGAACAGTGCACGCTGAATACATACTCACAAATTGCTGTGATAATATCTAAGTTGAACATGATATCAAATTAGTGACCAAGAACAAATGAATAAATACTATACCCATAAATCTGATATTGTAGAGTCACTAATAGGATATCTGTGTCCATTTGTTTTGCTGTATCTATTTTAAGGTATGAGCAAATGTACATTTCTTTCACTAAATGCTTGTTGTCATGTGACTTGAGGAAAAGAAATAGAATTGTATTTGACAAATTGTTATTCATATAGGTGTAGAAATCTAACCAATAACATGTTTTTATATACCGTACTTCCCCGAATATAAGCCCAGGGGCCACCTCAGAATAAATAATTTGTTGGTGCGTTTAAAACTGTAACCATCTTTCCAGCTTCGAAACATTATCCAAATTACATTTTTCGTTCACAGTGCCGGTCTTGGGGGAATATTACGTCTTTTTGAGAAAACAAAAATGCGAAACGAGCCGTCATTGATTTCAACGACGCTTTTTACAAGAAACAAATGTGAACAGAAAACAAAAATTTGATTACAATACGGTTCACATACCGTCTGAATTTACGGTGCAAAAATGGGTTGGGTCCGTGGGAAAACGGTCGAAGGCAAGATCGTACACAAACTCTTGATACAAAGCTATTTCCGACATGGTTTCATCATAATTTGACCTGAACAATTTTCATTGACCTAACAGGTCACGTCTTTTGTTAACTAATGAAAATGCTCTGTCATACAGTCAAAGCTTTCCGATTATTGACGAAGTATTTTTATCAACGCAATGCGGAAGTGTATTACCGCGATGTTAAAATGCGATCTGTTAACACTGATTTGGACAAAAAACGGTGACTTTTTTCCCTAAAAGCTGTTGATTCTCAATTTTTGAAAGGTAAACTGAGGGTGAGGAAAGTATTTAAACCTTTCACGGCCGCCAACAATTCAATGGACAACATTATCCGGAAAAGTAAAATGATGATAGTGACCAGGTTTCACATTTTTATCGTTTAGAAAACTACTATTCAAAAGAAATATGGATTATTTCAGTATTGCAACATCGGGGTTGATTCCGAGTAAATAACTACTGTACCAATCATGATTTTTATGCAATGAAATACACTTTTTACATGCATATTTTAATAAATTAAAATAATTAGTCGTTAACGCCTGGTAAAAAACACCCTGGGCCTATATTCGGGGATGCCCTCAACTCTTCCAAAAACAGAGGGGTCGGCTTATACTCGGGGAGGGGCTTATACTCGGGGAAGTACGGTAATATTGATTGGAATTAATGTTCTTTACACTAATTTTAGAATGGCTGGACGTCTTTACACTTCGCTGCCAAGGCTGGATATCTGAATGTTGTCAAACTTTTAGTTGAATCAGGAGCATCTCCAAAGTTTGAAACAAAGGTAAAGTCGTAATTGTTGTTTTTCTCTGCCATATATATCTGAAAAAATGTTGTGTTAGCAACTGATTAAAATATGTTCCTGATAATGGAGATAATTAGGTCATCTGCTTGACTAATTGACAATTTTTTACATGAAATACATATATTCAATTACATATTATAAATGTATTATTTCATATAGGATGGTAAAGTACCCATTTGTTATGCCGCAGCGGCCGGACACCATGATGTCTTGAGTTATTTGATGAAGAAAGATCACAATACACAACATCTCATGGAAGATAAAAGGGTTAGTTTTTGACCCCCTAGGAGAGTATATAATGTGAGGTTGTATGCTAGAGTCTCATAGAAGATTAAAGTGTTAGTTTGTATGAAATACAGTGACTCTAGGGAAACATGTATAAGAGAGTATAGAATGTGAATTAGTTTGTTTGAGATCTCATGGAAAATAAACAGGTTGATTTGTAATAAATACAGTGACCTTAGGGGGACAGGTATGTTTGATCCCCTAGGAGAGTACTAAATGTGAGGTAGTTTTTTGGAGGATCTCATGGAAAATAAAAAGGTTAATTTGTAATAAATACAGTGACGTTAGGGAGACAGGTACAGTACAGTTCTCGCGAAAGCTTTCGTTTTTGTGGCATCATTGTTGCCTACGCATGGCTTCATTGTCGCCTCAGCATCGCATCATTGTGGCATCAGCTTCGCGTCATTGAAAATTGAAGCTGTGTTCGCCTTGCTTATTTTGTGCATCATCAAGGCCTCAGCTTCGCAGTCTCATGGCATCAACATAGCATCAGCTTCAAAGTATTGTGACATGAGTATGACCTCATTATTTTCACATAGAAAGGCAGTAAAGAAAAACATGTGTACGTTCAATATGTAATTGATTTGAAATTCAAGGCGGTAAGGGGAATAAAATAATATGATCAAGAGTAAACTGACATTTTAATAAGATATCTTGTTTAATTATTTTAGTGTTGTGAATATTGGGTAGCAAAAACTTTGTGAAGTACATTGCAATCGGCAAGGTGACGAGTGTCATATTGACTGCAAGGAAAATCGTGATAAATTTAAATCACACGATGCAATCGTCGTTCGGATACAACACTGTACAGAACTTGCTATATACGAAATGAAACTGTTCTTGTTATAAAATGACCTTATTTTCATTCATTTTATTTGCTGGTAAGAGAACAGATTCAGATTCCTCATTTCGGTGGTATTTTTCTGTGTTTCGTTTAGTTTTACCATGCCCGCACTACTATTGCATGCAAAACACATGTACGCCATTTGGTGCGCCGGCTTTGTCGCCAGTCATCTTGATACAACGTTCCAAAACAAGTGCGTACATTTCCAACTATGATTTTGAATATGCCCTGAAAAACTCGAATAGAGCTTGACAAGTATAAATAATTTATTGGGCTTCAGAAAAAAACATGTCCATTTAGTTGTAACCGTAAATATTGAGTGACCAGTCGATAAACAATTTTAAAGTCCTTTGATACTGAAAATCATCGACCCCAGTCTGGTTTACCTTATTTCCCGACTTGCAAAACTGATTTGCCGTGGACACTAATGTAGCGGAGCTTATCATATGAGTGATTGTCCGTCATCCGTCGTTGGTGTCAATGTTTTAGTTTTTCGACTTCTTGAAAACTAAAAGCCTGAATGCTTTGATACTTGGTGTATATGTACCTTGGGTAGACCTCTCTCAGATTTATTCATTTTGTAATGATATCTTTAATTCTCTAATTTTGGTGAATATTTTTGTCATTTTTGGTAAAAAGTAATATTTTCACTTCTTGTTAAAAACCGCAAGTCCAATTGCTTTGATATTACATATATAGGTACTACATGTGGACCTCTCTCAGATTTGTTCATTTTGTGATGATATCTTCAATTCTCTAATTTTGGTAAATATTTTTGTAATTTTTGGTAAAAAGTGATATTTTTGACTTCTTGTTAAAAACCAATAGTTCAATTGCTTTGATATTACATATATAGATACTACATGTAGACCTTTCTCAGATTTGTTCATTTTGTGATGATATCTTCAGTTCTCTAATTTTGGTGAATATTTTTGTCATTTTTGGTAAAAAGTGATATTTT